CTTTGGATTCCACGTTTACTTTTTCTTTCTAATTACTTCTCCAGGTTTATCCTGGAATTATACCCTTCCCTTAGTGGTTATTTTTACCTAAGGAAACAGAGTAGCGTTTCCCAGAAAATATTCTTTGCTAGTTTCCAAATTCAATTTAGGAGGTTAGTTCTGACTCAAAACAGTGCTATTTATAATGTCTCACAGTATTTAAAGGAACTGATTATTCAATTTGCTTTGCTATTTTATCGCAAGCTGCTTATCCTGGAGCTTTTCTTATAGTTATAATTGTAAATTACACTACCACGGCAGTTCTGTTTCTAAAACAGTCCGTTGCAAGACTATGTATTTATCTATAGGGGAATGCTATAATTATGGTCTACCATCACACCTCTAACTCAGTTCCAGAAAGGGTGGGTTCAGTCCAAGAGTAATTTGCTGACCTTCAGGTCAAGTTTAATTGGATTGGTTATTTCTGGAGAATAAACTTTTTTTTTTTTTTTTTAAGAACAAGGAAAACATAGATCTGCTGATTGGAGAGGACAGTGTGATGTTGACAAGAGTCAGGAGAAAGCGGAGCTGCATGTGTCAAAGGGAACGACCCTGTCTTGGAAAGGGTAGAAGATGTGTCTCGAAGTAAGGATAATGGACATTTATCCTTGGTTTTGTCAGTTCTGCATCTGACCCCTTTCCAGGGTTGGGGAGTCTGCCATGGCTTGAGTCTCCGCAAGAGATAGGTCTTGCCTCCTTCTCTGGAAACCAGAAGCTCACTCTGACCCCCAGCAGCCAACCCTCAGGCATGGGATGGCCACCACGTGGCCACAATGATGCTCCTGCTTTGACTCTCAAGCGAAAGACGCAAAGAAGCAGGGACATTTTGAATTTACTCATTCTGGTGGCCTGGTGGCAATGACACTCCTCGGCATCTCTCTTCACCCGAAAATCGGTCTGCCTTCAAGGAACCACTGAACTGTTGGGGATCTGGGCAGCGCCCACATCATGGTGGGACATTTCGAAGCTTAGACTCTCGCTCCCCTCTGTGTAAGACACCATCGAAGCAGCGTGACAATGTCAGTTATTTTAGAAGAGACTTAACCAAGGGAAACACCAGTGCAGGCCTGTCCATAGCCTTGTGGACCCCAGCCGACTTCCTGTCCTCACATCCTGCCGCATCTCCCTCGCCCCCAAGCTGTTCCTGTCACACCCTGTTCCCATCCCTTCACTGGGCCTGGCACTGGCTCTTCCCTCTGCCTGGAATGTTCTTCCCTCAGTTATTATTCCCACATGCGCCTTTTCCTTTCTTTCCCGTTGGTTCGGACGTCACCTTCTCGGCCTTTCCAGGTCACCTTGCTTACCACGTGCCCACCCCGCCCAGCAGCACACAGCCACTCGCCTCTCTCTATTTCTTTGCCCTGCGGGGTATTTTCCTCCTGGCACTTAGCACCACCACCCCCCCCCCCGACGTTACGTGCTTATTTATCAACCGTCTGTCACCCTTGGGATACATGTGCTGAGCTTCTGCGGGACTCTGCCTGCTTTGAAATCTGCGATCGCCATTCCCTCTCAGCAGAAGAGGCGTCCGTTCTGCAGCCCGACAATGGCAGGTTTTATTTTCCCCAGCAGGCTGATCCTCACCCTCATCGGCAAGGACAAATCCTTGTTTCCTGAAAGCCAGCGCCAGCTGAAGAGCAGCTGATTCCCTCTCCTGGAGAGCTAGTTACTTGAATAAAATGATTGTGGCATTAATAACAGCACCAGCTGATTGCTGCTGCCTCAGGAAACAATAAAGACCTGCTTTCAGGAAGGGAACGCGTGATTTACTTTCATGTCCTATTTTTACGTCCAACACATTGCATTGCGCGAAACAGGTATCTACAGGTGTCTTCGAAAAACAACCAAGTCTCCTTGAACCTCGATCAGTCATGATTTTATTTCTCAGGGTTTGGAACAAACATTCAAAGGGTCCCCAGCTATTAATTATCCAAAAGTAAGATTCTCTTTTTCCTTTTTATGTAGGTGGTATTTTAAAATCATCTTAGATGGTTTTTAATACTAATGATTAAAGCATGGATGTGTGTTCTGCTCGTTTATGTTTTTTCTGCTAGGTGACAAAAGATGGAGTGTTTAACACTGAATTCTAAGAGCTGTACCATTCCCAGTTTCAGTGATTACAGACTGTTGACAACGGAGTTGGAAATCAATTCAGGTGTCAGAGGTTTTTCTGTTTAGTGATTTTTTTTTTAAGATTAAAAAAATTTTTTTTAAAGTAATCTCTACACTCAACGTGGGGCTTGAACCTACAGCTCCGAGATCAAGAGTAGCATGCTCCACCGACTGAGGCAGCCCGTTTAGTCATTCCTAAATATTCAAATTACCTAAACCTCTAGTGTTGGGAAGCCTCCCCACCCTACCCTTTTTTTTTTTTTTTAACATAGGAAGTTAGTTAAGCTCAGGAGATACATTTGGAACTGAGAGCTCTAAAACAAACTCCTATTCGTTTAGGACTTAAGAGCTCTCATTTAATCTCTTAGGAAAACAACTTCGTGAGGCAGGATGATTTTATGATTTCACAGATGGGGTAACTGAAGTAGTTAACTACTTAAACCTTGTTTCTGGTGCTAAATTAGGTCCCCTTTTTAGTGGAAATTGCTGCTTTGTCTACGTAGCTCCAGGTTGGATGTTCTCTTTCATTTTTTTGTACTGAACTTTCCATTTCTGCCTCAATTTAAGAACTGTAGAGGTGTGTGGTGACAATCTGATGCGCTAATGACAGAAAATAATTTTGAAGGAAGACTCAGAAAGTTTCAAGGTCATTGAAACTAGCTATGACCTTGAAGGTCATTTGTATAAGGACCATTTGATAGTGGATCTCTTCTCTAACCCTGATCCAGTGTTCATCCAAAACTTGAGCACCTTTAAGGTTGGAGACTAATGCAAACTTTGAAAGAGCCCAGTTCATCTTTGGTTAGGTTTGGCTACTAGAAAGTTCTTCTTTATTGTTTTAAGACTTTCCCTTTGTAACTTGGGTCTAATCTACTTTTTCAGCCTCTGTGCCTAAATCTTTTTTTCTTTAGTCCAATAACAATGACAATAATAGTAAGTTGCCACAATGGTTATTGTTTATTAAGGGTCTACTATAGGTCAGCCACTGTGAAGTCCTCTGGTGTGTACATTATCTGGGTGTCTGGTATATAGTATCATCTGCCAGGTGTGCAAGGGGCATTTAGAATATAAACATAGTAGCTAATATGTTTAAAGTATTTATGATAGGCCAGATGTTCTCCTAGTATTTTAAATGTATTTACTTAAATCTCAAAATACCTGCAAGAGGTTGAGACTATTGTTATCCTAATTTTCCAGATGAGGTAAATGAGGCAAGAGAGACTGCTGTAGGTCCCACAGTCAGTGTCAACTTTGCTCTTAGCTCTGACATAAATTGCCTCTCAAAAAAGCACAGCCGGGATGTAAAGGGCGCAGTGCCTGCCTCATGGAGCTTCCAGGCTGTAGGAGAGGGGCACACAGAAGTAGACAGTTTGAGCGTGAGGAGGTAAAGAGAGTCTATAAAGGTGATGAGGGAGCACAGAGAACAGGCACTTCTCCTCACCTACAGAGAAGCCCAGGAGGATTTCCTGGAAGAGCCAACACCTCCTTAGGAGCAGGAAGATAATGCCCAGGGGGCTAGGAGAAGGGCACTGGGGACAGGGGGCCCAGCATGAGCAAAGAAACAGAGGTGAGAGATTGTGGAGTGTATGCAAGGAAGGGTGCTCTGGTTTGAATGTTTGTGTCGACCCCCAAACCCATATGTTGACATCCTAAGCCCCAAAGATGATGGTATTTGGGAGTGGGGCTTTGTGGAGTGATTCGGTCCTGAGGGTGGAGGCTCTGTAAATGGAATTTGTGTCTTTATAGAAGTGGCCCCAGAGAGGCCCCTCACTGCCTCCACCCTGTTGGGGCACAGGGAGAAGGCACTAGCTATGGCCCTGGAAGGGGGCCTTCACCAGAACGCGACTGTGTTGGAGCCTTGATCTTGGACTTCTCGGCCCGGAGACCCATGAGAAATGAATTCTTGTGGTTGATAAGCCACCCGGTCTGGGGTGTTTTGTTATAGCAGTCCCAACAGACTCAGACCAAGGGTAGAGGTCTGGGATGCTAGAGGTTGCTGTAAAGCTAATGAGCAGGAAGTACAACTGAGTCACGACCATGCACAGGTGTGGATGTGTCCCGGCTGTGTACATAAGGTTTGCATCACATTTTAAATATAGTTAGGGAGGTTACTATTTAAAGAAATCCTTTCTGGAAGGAGGATATTTACACCGTGAGGAATCCAGAGCCGCACATTTGATGTTTCCTTCAAGTAGATGAACACCGTTACCATGGTCTTTCGTCAGCATCCTTTCCTTCCCAGGATGTGTGTTTTAAGCCCCCACGTGAGGATACAGGAACTTATTTGTCCTACGGCAGAGCTGCCTCTTTCCGTGGGGGAGTTCATTACTCCCACGCCTCCATGATCACATTCAAGGCCGGAGAACACATTCACAGATGCATAAGACATCCAGATGATCACGAAGAAGCCCTTCTTTGCTTATGATTTATCTGAATGTTTCATAGGTCAGATTCATAATGATTCTTGGAAAAAACCAACTATTGCCACTTAACATCCTCTGTATATCTTTTAAACCCAGAGATATACACAAGACCATCTAGCTAGGGAAAATCCAGCCTATCCTTGGTAGGCGGCAATGTTAATCTGCATGGCTAAAGGAAGCCAGGTGGTCAGCGGCCCCCACATTCACAGCGCCAGTTTAGTGAACAATCACAAGTTGTGTATAAATCGGTTTCCATGGTTTGTTCATCTCAGCTGCTTTGCAGGTGGCTGAGGACACACAGTTTATCTCTGCATGTTACGGAGTGAGCCATGTCACAATTTCCCCTAGCATATTAGAGATGAGAGTTTCATAAATATAAGGCTCTGTGTCTAAGAGGGGAGTTTTACCCTGACAGGTTAAGGGACAATGATGGTCCTGGCTTTATTATTTTGTCTTCTGTCTTTTCTGTTTCAATTACCTTTTGTGTTGCCTGCAGGAAACATTTCTCTCAAATGCATGCAAGACACCGATGAATTCCTTTCCGATTTGAATTCAGTGGAGCCCAAAGAATACGCTCTAAGAAGTAAGTAGGTTTTTCTGTCCTGTTGGGTAGGTGAACACAGGGCAATCTGAGCTTTGGGCCAGGAGGATTCTAGAAAAACTCTTGGTGATTAAAAACACAGAACCAAAGAGGGAAGGCAAGATGAGCCTCAGTTTACAAATTGCTCCAGGGCTCAAGGAGGGAGGAGCAATTTTTATTGCACAAGAGCAAGAGAGGAAGTGGTATTTAATTCTAGCCAGAAGGAATCTCCTGAGGACCAACCTCTTAATGAGATGAGAACTGTTTATAAATTGTAAGATGCTGTTTACTATTATCGAAGTTGGTAGCATTTACTGTTGTATGAGATAACGTACTGATTTCTTTTTCTAGGTGTTTAGTCTGCTTTTGATAATGAATTACTTCATTATTTAGAGAGCAAGTTTTACCCATTATGTACTTGACAATAAATTCTGAGGAGGGCGCCTGGGTGGCTCAGTTGGTTAAGCGACTGCCTTCAGCTCAGGTCATGATCCTGGAGTCCCGGGATCGAGTCCCACATCGGGCTCCC